TGAGACTCTGTCTCAAAGAAAAAAAAATCTGATTTCTTTGATCTGAAATCTATATTTTAGTAATACAGGTACTTCAGCTTTCTTTTGATTTGTGTTAGCCTGTTATTTCTTTTTCCATCTTTTAACCTATTTGTGTTTTTATATTGAAGTTGCATTTCCTAAGAACCTTTGGAGGTTCTAGCAGGAGGGCAGGGCTACTCACATATCCTTCCCTGATGAACAGTCTTCCTCTATCAGGAAAGGTTGTCTTGGTCCACCCATCACGCACCTTCAGGAGGGACCCATGTGGAGTAGTGAGGGAGGAATGGGACATGCCACCTAGCCAGCCAGAGCGGCCAAATCAACCCCGGCAATAAATGGGTGACAGATGTAGCCAGATTGCGCTCACATCGCAAGGTGCATTTCTTACAGGCGACATACAGTAGGTTCTTAAATTTTTAGCCAAAATGAAACATTCCTTTTTAGCTAATATTCCTTGTTAATGAGAATATTTAGATCAGGGCTTAGCAACTGTGGCTCACAGACTAAATTCAGCTGTGACCACTTATTTATATATCGTCAATGGCTGTTTTTATCATATAACAGCAGAGTTGAATGGTTGTGACACAGTCTATATGCCCCCCCAAACCAAAAATATTTACTAACTGGTCCTTTACAAAAAATGTCTGCTGACCCCTTGGTTTATACCTTTTACATTTAAAGTGATTATTGATATGATTAGCTTAAAACCTATTATCTTGCTATGTATTTTGTATTTGGCGGTCTCATCTTTTTTGTTTTTCTTCTTTTCCTGTCTTCTTTAGGATTATTTTTTATTCGATTTTATTTTCCTTTCAATAAACTTAAATAATAACCGAGAAAAATGTCTTTACTCCCAGTGTTACCATTTCTGGGGCTCTACATTCCTTGGTGAGGACACATCTTTCCACCTGGTGTACTCTTCCTTCAGACTGAGGGATTATCTTTTAACTTTCCTTATAATGTGGGGGTCTTTTTGTAATGCCTTTTCAGCTTTTTCTGAGAAAAGTCTTTATTTTACCCAGATTCTTGAAAGACATTTTCACTTGGTGTAGAGTTCTAGGTCAACAGCTTTCTGCCTCACCCGCCTTTTTTGGTAATTTTGGTCCTGCTATCTTCTCGCTTGCGTTGTTTCTGACAAGAAGCTCCCTTGTTATCTTTGTTCTTCTGTATGACTTTCCCTCCCTGCCCCTCCCCCACCGTGGCTTTTAAACTTTTCTTTTTACATAGTATTACTTGGAACAACTAGATTTTAATCCTTGGTATGCTTGGTTTTTGTGCTTGCAGTTTGTTGACTCATGGGAGTATTGTTTTTTAGGTTTTTTTTAACTTCATTCAAATTAATATGAGGGTACAATTCTTAGGTTACATTGTTCTCGCTTTCAGAGTAAGTTCCCTTCTTAGAAGAGCCCCTGGTGGGGGGGGTGTTATCTACCTCCACAATGTGCACAGTAGGTCATGTGGCTTTTCCACTTTGAAAAAGAATTTGAGATTGTTTTTTTTCTGCCCTCTTCAAAATTGAAATTGACTATTTCTTTTCTTTCTTTCTTTCTTTTTTTTTTTTGAGACACCCTCCGTAGAGTACGTGGTATCACAGCTCACAGCAACCTCCAGCTCTTGGGCTCAAGCTATTCTCTTGCCTCAGCCTCCCAAGTAGCTGGGACTACAGGTGCCCACCACAGCACCCAGCTATTTTTAGAGATGGGGCTTCTCTCACTCTTGCTTAGGCTGGTCTTGAACCTGTGAGTTCAGGGCAATCTTCCCATCTCAGCCTCCCAAAGTGCTAGGATTATAAGCATGAAGGAATTGACTATTTTTCTTTTTTGCAGTTTTTACGTGGGGCCAGGTTTGAACCCACCACCTCTGGTATATGGCCCTGGCGCCCTACTCCTTTGAGCCACAGGCACTGCCCAGGAATTGACTATTTCTTGAGGTAAAATTTGCTCCCTTGCATTTTTCTATCCATCCAGTTGCTTCAGCCAAGAAGTAAGGTTTTGTTTAACTGGTTTTTTTTTAAAGCTCTATCTACTATTTAAAATGATGTCAACAGTGTAATTCTAAAATGTTCCTAAATGTGATATCTTGATAATGATCTATGAAAATATTTCATTGGAATTTGTTTACTGCACTAAAAAATGTTAGTCAATAAGTGATGTGAGTGGATTTTATAAGCAATGTCTCTGTAAGATTTTTTTAATTACAAAATTTTAACTGAATAGTAACAACATTGTACATTTAAAACCAAATTAAAAGGTTCAGCTTTCACATTAGTTTTCTTCACATCAAAGCAATACTTGAAATAAACAAAAATCCATGACAATTAGTAAATATGCACGTATTTTAAAATATCCTTGTTGCATAGCAACTATTGATCCTATTATGTGCTTTTTACATACTCTACAATAATTAAGCACAGGCACAAATTGGTATCTACTTTTCTTGAATGTTAAAAGCATTAAGTTATGCAGTTTATTTTAGTATGTGTATTATACATTTGTAAAAGGAACATTTCATTCCCACGCCAAGACACAGTGACCCAAGAAAGAGATGGCAATGTCACGTTAGTGACTCTCTTTTCTTATAAGAGGACTTTTAGAGAACTTTTTATTCATAGTCTCAATAGTTAGCAAAGCCAAGACATAATCATTCCTGGGCTTTGCTACCCTGAATCTTGATTTGCTGCTAACAAGAAGTCATGTCATCTGAACAAAATGAAATGCAGAAAAGTACACATGTGAAAATCACATCTGTGATATAATTAATTTATCAGGAAGAGATCATAGTCTTAGTAAGAACTTAGAGAATGTTACAGAGGATATTTTCACCATCAAATTAACTTAACAGCACAAGGCAAGAACATACATGCTTTTACAGGGTCCTCCGCTAATGCTAATTTGTTCTATTCTGTTAGCAACTCAGGGATGGCTGGGGTATAGTGAACATAAGGTCTAGAGCGGATCATAAACTCAGAGTTTTCTCCTGTGAAATGTATCTGAAAACCCCTTGTATGGTACAAGAGTGGAGGCAGAAACTTCTACACAAAAGCAGGAAAGTTCAGTCTGAGAGAAGGAA